ATATACATAAAATATATATTGAAGTATATAATAGATATTGAAAAAATATACAGTACACATCTGATGTGTATAAATATATATGTAGTAGAACTCAGAAGTGAAGCCCTCTGGACCATGGCTTTTCTTTGTTGGTAGACCATTTATTACTGATTCAATCTCATCACACATTATTGGTCTATTCAGGCTTTCTATTTCATCTTGATTCAGCCTAGGTAACTTGTACTTGTCCAGAAATTTGTCATCTTATCTAGGTTTTCTAGTTTGTTGGAATATAGTTGCCATAATCTTTTGTATGGGGGGAGGTAAAAAGGCAGCAGTATTTTATTTTGGTTCTTTTTCTAGGTGCCTAACATACTTAAGGCGACAGTTCAAGCTTACTAAGTGAAGGTAGTTACAATTTAATGTCAATCATCACAATTTCTTGCAACCTACATACACTGTATAATGCTTACATGGAATAAAACCAGCGTTACTTAATTGGTGTTTTACACACATACACACACAACTTCAAAACTGTTAAAGGCAGTTGTTCTAAATGTACTATAGTAACAAGTTAAAAATGCAGCTATACCACAGAACTACAGTAACATGAACAACACTATTTGTTACCTGGGAGAAAGTCACCTCACTCAAAAGCTAAGCCTGACTCAGTCATCCTAATCACAATGGCTTGTCAACATGTCAGGTTTCCAGTAGAGAACTATTCTAGGAAAGTCAATGAACTTCTGAAAGTTTCACATCCATCAAACCAAGATAAGGCTACAACTACCTTGAAATCTGACAAGATATCAAATGGAAGAACAAGATTCCCAACCATAATGTAAGCTAGAAAGGTCCTCATGCAGCATATGCTTGCTGGTGCTGGAAAAGCTTCATGTGCATAATACAGAAGTGCTGAAGGAGGGCTGCAGGAGTAAGTTACGTCCACCATGCCAGGCCTTAAATCTCAGGAATGGTGTGGTCCATCAGGCTTTTCATGATGCTTAAGGTCATCCGTTTCATATATTCAAAGATAAAATCAGGCATGATTGTAATGGTTCCAGATGTTGACAATATATCTGTAATTTGAGTCCTTCAATCCAATAACATCCTGTCAGTTGATTTCATAGATGTATTCTGTGAGAAGATCATTTCTGACTGCAGACGTATCTTTCATAAATGGATGCTATTTTTCCATTTTTAGAGATAAAGCCAACATGTCCAGTATTCTTCTTTTTTTTTTTTTTTGGAGAGGTTTTCGCTACAAGGCGTGTGTGCTCGCCAGACAGACAGAGAGAGACATAGAGACAGAAAGCGAGAAATCACCCCCCAGGGGGGATGGCCATGCCGCAATCCCTTCTCCTCCATTCTCCTCTCGGGATCTTAGGCACGCATGCACACGCGCCCGGCGTGAGCTTTAAGCCACCGGATCCAGGACGTGAACTGCGGTCGACTATGTGGGAGTCCAGCGACATAGCCATTACTCTAACTGCTGGTTCCCTGTCCAGTATTATTCTTATGCATGATGATTGTGCGATCAAAGGGTCTGTCATGAATTGTCATGGAAATCTTCTCTCAAAAAACCTGTTTGAGTACCTTGTGAGCTTTATCAGAGCTCCAGCCAGCATAATTCTCACTGTTGATCTGGAGTACTTTGTCCTCAAATCTCAGACCAATCAGTGAGGCTGGAGAATTAGCCTGTACTAGTTGAACAAAGATATCATTATCTATTGATTTTAGTCTGAGCCCAATTTTTCCATCTCGACCCTTACACAAAATGACCTCATGAATCTCTCGCTTAATTTCTGCTCTGCAAATTCCAGCATCATTACCAATTATAGGAGCCACCATATAGCTCATACTGTAAAGTCTTGCTACCAACACATGCACTGGGGCTCCAGGAACCATGGCCATATTTGCATGTATCTCTTCTTCATTCAAACTAATTTCAACTTCTTCATTTAAACTTCATTTAAACTTCTTCATTTAAACTTATTGAGAGAGCTTGGGGTACAGTTTGGGATAGAGATTTCCATCTTGAGAGATGGAAGCATAAGATTCTGATAAAAATTACTGGGTTGGCAGGGTTTGTAGAGAAAGCAGTTTGAGCCTGAATTACTTTATCTATCTTCAAGTCCTCTAGAGATGGATAGAGAGAAATTTTTGCAGGATTTTTCTTCACTGCAAGGACCCCCTGCTGCCACCTCTTCTAGTCACTAGCTCCAGCTTCCGAGACTGGAGGGAAGTAGAGTGGCACAAATCCGAGGACCGCCTACCTTGCATTTCTTATATATATCAGTGGTAATAATATCAGCTTCTTTACTGAGTTTACATAACTGTTTCTTTTTTTGTGTTTTTCTTGGTTAGTCTAGCTAGTGGTTTGTTCAATTTGTTTATGCTCTCAAGCAACCAGCTTTTTGTTTCAGTGATTTTTTTTTTTTTGGTATTGTTCTTTTATTCTCTTTCATTTATTTTAGCTCTATTCTTTACTATCTCTTTTTTTCTTTTTATTGTTGCTTTCTCAGTTTCTTGAGATTTTTTTTTTGCCACTTTTTAATTTTATTTTTTGTGAGCACTAATTGCTATGAACTTCCCTCTTCTAACTGCTTTTGCTGTGCCCCAAAGGCTTTGGAGAGTGGTGTGTTCATTACAACTGGTTTCAATGAATCTTTTGATTTGAGTATTAATTTCTTCAGTTGTTTGAAAGTTGTTAGTAGCAGGCTGTTTGGTTTCCATGTTTTTGTGTATTTTTGAGGACTCTTTCTGTGGTTGATTTTAAGTTTAATTTGATTATGGTCAGAGAAGTTGGTGGGTATGCAGTAGTTTCTATACTTTTAAATTTGTACAGGCTTATTCTGTGGCTTATTATATGGTAAATTTTTGCACATATCCCATGTGGAGATGAGAAAAAAGCGTATTTTGTAGTTGCTGGGTGAATTGTTTTATGTATGTCTGCCAGGTCCATTTGGCTTGTGGTATCAATTAGCTCCTGTGTTTCTTTGTTTATTTTTATGTATTTATTTTTTAGATTAATTTATTTTAATTGTGTGTGCATTAGTTTGTCACCTTCTTAATGGGTAGCAAGGTGTCTATCCCAGCTGAAAACCCTCTAAGCTATATTCTGAAAAACTCAGAAAAGTACAGCCATGAACATATTAAAGGGAAAAAAATTGTACTATGCTATATTGCTTGGTCACAATACCAATTAGATTCTGTGAAAGAAGTGGCCTTTAGATTACATTACACTAATTCCATTTGGTCTCTTCTGCTAAAGGCAGGAAAAGCTGAATGAGATCTCATGTGTTCGATCTTTTATAAATTTATATCTAGATAACCATGAAAGTTTTAACTGTTTTTTTAGCTAGTTTGTTTTTCTGTGCATTGTTATTGTAATAGAACTCTCGCTTTCGCCAGAGAGAGAGAAGGAAAGTGAGAAATCACACTCCCCCCAGTAGGAATGGCCGCACTGCAAATCCTTCTTTGTTCTCCTCTTGGGAATTTGGGCATGCATGCACACCTGTCTACCATGATTTTTAAGCTTTCAAATCTGATACATGAACTACAAAATCAGTCATAGGGGACCCATCTGTCTTACCTTCCAAGCTACCTGCTGGCTCATAGCATATTCTTAAAATGAGTAGCAAGGTTTGCTTCTTCTCCGAGAGAACACCAACTGGCCGATGATGCCGGTGCAGCGGCAGGGCATGGAGGCCCTGGGGGTCCTGGGATAAGAGGCCACTGCGGCTTCTCTGGAGGGTTCGGCAGCCGCCCCCGTGGGCGGGCCGGGGCAGGGCTGTGGCCGGGGCCACAGCCACCGAGCTCGCAGAGGCAAGGCCAAGGACAGAGAATGGATCCCGGTCACCAAACTGGACCGCCTGATCAAAGACATCTAGATCAAATCCCTGGAGATCTATCTCTTCTCCCTGCCCATCAAGGTAGCCATTTAGCAGGGGCCAGCAGGTGGCATGGTGATTAAGGCGGCTGGACTCCCACAAGGCTGACTGAGGTTCGAATCCCGGACCTGGCAGCTTGCTTTCTCTCTCACTGTCTCTCTCTGGTCAAATTCAAAAAAATAAATTAAAATATAACAAAAACAAACAAACAAACAAACAAAACCAAACAAAAAAAAAATGAGTAACAAGGTTTAAAAAGCAGATCCTACTGGGCCATCTGGTGGTGTGATGGTTAGGGTAACTAGATCCCAAATGGATGACTGTTTGGTTTGAATCCTGGACCCAGTGACTTAAAAAAACCCCTTGGAGGGTGCTTTCTCACCTTTTCTTTCTCTTTCTAGGAAGTACATGTGCTTTATAGCCAAAAAAAAAAAAAAAAGAGAGAGAGAGAGAGAGAGAGTGAGAGATCGAGAGACCTTACCTGCCCCAAATCTTGATTTAGAGAATGCTCTGCTTCTCCAATCCCACTAGAGAGGGCAGGTAGGTGGAATCTTCCTTTTTTTCCCCCCTCTCTTTCTTTTTTGGAGAGTTTTTTTTTTGCTATAGGGCACGTGCGCTCGCCAGACAGACAGGGAGAGACAGAGAGACAGAAAGCGAGAAATCACCCCCCCCCAGGGGGGATGGCCATGCTGCAACCCCTTTTCCTCCATTCTCTTCTCAGGATCTTGGGCACACACGCACACGCGCCCAGCGTGAGTCTAAGCCACCGGGTCTGGGACTCAAACCACAGTTGACTACGTGGGAGTCCAGCGACATAGCCATTATGCTAACTGCTGGTCCCGGTAGGTGGAATCTTCTGAAGAAAGAGTCAGGTGGGGCTGTGTCTCCACCTCTGCCTTATAAGGCTGTCCCTGAAGAAGGCCCACTGGTGCCAGTGACCTTCTCATATTTACCTCTTCCAAGAACAAAGGTTGCTTATGCTAGGAATTCCTGTAGATGGGTTTCACCCTCCCATACCTGGTAGGAGACAGATTTCAGTAGGGCAGCCACCCACTTCCAAGTAGTGCAATTTATCTTGAGATAAGTAGTTATCAGTTTGGCCAAGGATGGTCAACCTGCCAGATTATTATGGGTATATGCCACTTTCCGTATTTCCCATTTGTACAATTAGAAGCTTACTGAGATGACCCTAAGCATATGACTAATCTCTTTGAATCTATTTTTAACACACACCATCCTGCCTGGTGTGTATAAATATCGAAAAGATCCAGGTCTTTAAAGAATTCTTTGTCTTAGGGCCAGCAGGTGGCCTGGTGGTTGAGGCGCTGGTCTTTCACATGGCCACATGCAGTTCAAGTCCTGGACCTGGTGGCTTGCTTTCTCACTCTCCCTATCTCTGTGTCTCTCTGTGTCTCTCTAGCAACTGCATGTGCTCTATAGAAAATTAAATATTAATAATAATAAATAAAATTTGATTAAATAATTCTTAGAATAAGAAAAAAATTCTTTATCTTGAGTTCTTTACCCAGAGTAGACCTGATAATAACATCTTGCTCTGGGCTTTCCTTGACACTGCCTGGTACCAAGAAAAGAGTACCATCCATTAAAGATGCCATCATAGAAACTTTTTTGGAAAGTCCCCCACTCCAGAGTCCCACCCCAGATCCTCACATTCCTGGCTTGTGTTTAAAAGCCCAGCTTACCCCCAAATTGTGGAAATGATACCTTAAGAGTTTGGGGCTGTACCTCTCTCCTGGTTGATACCTCCTATAATAAAGCCTTCCTCTAAGCACCTTTCAGTGTCTCAGAAATTGGCCTACTGTGTGATCAACAATCAGGCTCAGTTCATACAGTGTTCTGACACAGGGTGATCTGAATCAGACATGGTATATCATCATTCACTGAAAGCACATAAGGACCACATGTCTTTTCATAGCTTAGTACTTACCCTGGGATGGTGTGATGAAAGACAAGTCAAATATCCTATATATACACACTGCGAGATTTTATCATAGATGAAGAACAAGGAAAAGTGATTTTTCACTGTTTATAAAAGGAAAGAAGGTGGCTGTCCTCCCACTCCCCTTAAACGGTCTCCTAAATCTTAAAGGAGCTGAGTCCTTACTCTAGCACTTCGATATATAAATACAATCTCTCAGAGGCTAAGCACTCCCCTCTCCAAACCTGACCATCTGGGCCCCACAGATAAAGTTCAGTTTCCAAGACTGGACTTCATCCTTTTGGAATACAAATACCCAGTGAGCTAGTCCTCTGGTACTTCGGGGCTTAACCTAGGGCTAAGATTCAATGTATCCATTTGATCCTTTGGGATCAGAGTATTAATTGGAAAAATGGCACCAGATGGAATTCCCATGGTGTGTGAGGAGTGGAAAGGAGGAAAAATGGCATTTCTGACTTATATTTTTTAGTTCGCTGTAGGGTACATGTGCTTGCTGGAGAAAAAGAAAAAGGAAAGGAGAAAGAGAGAAAAAGTGAGAAATCTGCCCCAGGGTAGATGGTCACACTGTAACCCCTTCTCCATTCTCTTCTTAGGATTTTGAGCATACTTATGCATACACCTGGCATGTTTTTCAAACTGCCAGGTCTGGGACTCAAACTGCACACTAAGCCTTATAAGATCTAGCCACAAGCATGCTACCAGCAGGCATAAGCATTGTTTTCCTGCTTTCTTTTCTTTCTTTCTTTCTTTCTTTTTTTTTTTTTAAGAATTATTTATTTTAATTTAATTTTGTTATTATTTTTAAATTTTGCTATATGCCACACTAGCTCACCAGGAAGAGACAGAGAGTGAGAGAGGGAAAGTGAGAAAGCAAGCTACCAGGTCCCAGACTTGAGTGCAACTGGCCATGTGGGAGCCAGCATTTTAGCCACCATACGACCTACTGACCCCAGCGCACACATTTCTTATCTTTATATGGTATACTGGTTTGGGATTGGCATCCAGAATATTTAAACATTTCCATGTTATAGGAAGCTATTGTGTTTTATTTTTAATTATTTTAAATTTTATTTATTATTATTATTTTAAATTTTGCCCAGAGAGAGACAGAGAGAGAAAGTGAGAAAGCAAGTCATCAGTCCGGAACTGAAAAGATGGTTAGCCAGGTAGGAGTCCAGCACCTTAATCACCATGCCACCTGGGCCCCAAGGCTATTGGTTTTTATAGGAACACTAATAAACCTGATGTGGCTTTATTTTATTTCTTAATAATTAACTGAGTCTACTTTGTACTTAATTATTTACTGTTGTTAAGAAACTGCTTGCCATCCAGTGCAGGAATAGCTCACTGTGGTGAACCACTGGGTGTTACACACATGAGAACATATTGCAATGTTTGTTTTTTTTTTAAGGAACTATTGTTTCTTGGACGCCGGTGGGGGAGGCCAGAATATTTAAACATTTCCATGTTATAGGAAGCTATTGTGTTTTATTTTTAATTATTTTTAATTTTATTTATTATTATTATTTTAAATTTTGCCCAGAGAGAGACAGAGAGAGAAAGTGAGAAAGCAAGTCATCAGTCCGGAACTGAAAAGATGGTTAGCCAGGTAGGAGTCCAGCACCTTAATCACCATGCCACCTGGGCCCCAAGGCTATTGGTTTTTATAGGAACACTAATAAACCTGATGTGGCTTTATTTTATTTCTTAATAATTAACTGAGTCTACTTTGTACTTAATTATTTACTGTTGTTAAGAAACTGCTTGCCATCCAGTGCAGGAATAGCTCACTGTGGTGAACCACTGGGTGTTACACACATGAGAACATATTGCAATGTTTGTTTTTTTTTTAAGGAACTATTGTTTCTTGGACGCCGGTGGGGGAGGAGCCATCTGAGGGGAACGTGGGTTGAATGTTGCAACTAAATGGTGTGGAGCCCCATTTGGTACAGGAGTTTGGATCGGCCTGAGTTTTGATTCAGCTGAAGTTACAGCAGACGGGTATTGCCCAGCTTGCAGAGAGAAGGGAAAATTAAAAACCTTAAAGACTTACTGAATTAGTTTTGAAGAATCTATCTTTTTGTGTGAGGATCTGCAGTGCATCTTTCCTTTGGGCTTTAAATCACTTCATAACTTAATTTCTCCTGATTCAGAAGATTGTCACAGTCCAAGTAAGCCTCAAAAAAGAAAGATCTTGGAAACCAGCTGTGAAGATTTACTTCTTTTAGCAAATTCTAAAAAGACTAGAAATCATACTGTTACTGATGGTGAGCAGATTTTGGACAGCAAACAAAATGGGAAAGTATATGATGAAAACTCATCAAACTTACCTGACAGTAATAGTCAGCAGAATCCTGTTAGGACAGATGATTCCTCGGAGCAGGATGGGATTTTGGAAACTGATGTTGACTTGCCTACTGAAAAAGACCCTGCTACAGTTGATGTCTCTGGAACTTGGGAAACTTCCTCTCATTTTTTTTTTTTTTAAGAATTTTATTTAACGTTACTCATTTATGTATGTATGTATGTATGTATGTATGTACATATGTATTTAAATTTGACTAGAGAGGGGCAGAATGAGAGAGAGAGAGAGGGGAGAGAAAAGAGAGAGAGATGAGAAAGCAAGCCACCAGGTCCGGGACTCAAATGTGGGAGTCCAGCACCTTTAACCACCATGCCGCCCGCCAGCCCTTGTTTGTTTGTTTTTTTTTAAAGAATTATTTTACATTTAT